TTTACTCACCAAAATGAGTCAAAAATTTGATTACTGAATTGAATTCATGAATAGGTACAACAAAAAGGTTAATAACAGAATAAACGTTACATAAAAAAAAGCACAACAATATTATCATGATTATGAATGTTTCACTTCTCCTACTTTCATTTTAATTTGTCAAAGAAAGGATACAAGTCAATTTCAGGTAAAATGTCGTGAGATCAGTTTTTGTCTCATGAGTTCATTGTTTGGGTTTACAGGTTCTTAGCAAATAACGTCATCATGAAAAGTTCTTGAAAGTTTTTGACCCCCAAGTGATGTTTTGTGCAGATGTGATGAAGCACATAACATGCTACAGTTATGGAGAAACCCTCAACAATCACCCCCAACACAACCTTGCAGACTGGGGGTTAAGAATGCTCCAATCAAGTCAAAACTCGATCTTTGCTTATTTCTCAATACGAAGATTGTTAATACAAAATTTCAAGCCGTTCGGAGAAAATCTTAAAAACCACCCTTAAAACAGATTTGCAGACTGGGTGTTAAAAATACTCCAATCAAGTCACAACTCGACATTTGCTTATTTATTAATACGAAGATTGTTAATACAAAATTTCAACCTGTTCGGAGAAACGGTTAAAAACTACCACTAAAACAACCTTGCAGACTGGGGCTTAAAAATAATCTAATCAAGTTAAAATTTGACATTCGCTATTTTTTTAATACGAGGATTACTGATCCAAAATTTCAGCCCATTCGGAGAAACCCTCAAAAACCACCCCCAAAACAACCTTGCAGACTGAGGGTGAAAAATGCTCCAATCAATTCAAAACTCAATAAAGTTAAATTTAGTTAATGTCATCTTTTCAGAGCACCTATCTGTGACTCGATTAATATCAATTAATATCGCATATTACACTTAGTACAAGATTTCAAAACCAATTAAAAAAGTAGGATAGCAAAATCCTTACCTCTAATTTGGAGCTTGATTTTATTATAACATTTCGGTAACAAAAACTTGCTATTTAGGTAGTGTATTATAAATAAAACCAAGTTGTTAGAATAAATTAATTTATATATTACTTTTTTTAACAAATTAGACATTCGCTAGTTTCTCAATACGGGGATTATGGTTACAAAATCTCAGCCTATTTGAAGAAACCCTCAAAAATCACCCCCAAAACAACCTTGCAGACTGGGGGTTAAAAATGCTCCAATCAAATCAAAACTCGACATTTGCTTATTTCTCAATACGAAGATTGTTGGCACAAAATTTTAACCCGTTCGCAAAGATCGTTAAAAACTACCCCCAAAACAGACTGCAGACTGGGGGTTACAAGTACTACAATCAAGTCAAAACTCGACATTTGCTTATTTCTCAACCCGTGCGGAGAAACCGTTTCTTCATTCTGCTAACAGGAAAAAACGCAGATACATTATGTGAAATAAAGCAAGCTGCAGTAAAAATAGTCGAGGAATGGTGCAGCAGGCATACCCTCCCCGTTAATGGAGAGAAGACGAAACTAATCCTGTTCACTAGGAAAAGGAAAATTGGCACACTACAGATGCCAAAAATATTTAACACAACGCTTAACTTTCGAACGAAGTCAAATACCTGGGAGTTGTATTGGACTGGGAACTGAATTGGAAGAAGCATGTAGATGATAAAGTGGAAAAAGCACGCTCGGCTCTTTGGCAATGTCGTAGGGTGGTGGGAAGGTCGTGGGGTTTAAATCCCAAGATCGCCCTCTGGATCTACACGGCAATAGTCAGACCGATGCTGTGCTATGGAGCTTTAGTTTGGTGGCCCAGAGCCAGACCAAAAACAACAGCCCTGCAACTTGAACACGTTCAGAGAATGGCGTGTCGCAGTGTTACAGAAGCAATGAGGACCACTCCCACAGCGGCTCTGAAGACTCTTCTTTGCTTAGCACCTCTTAACCTTTACATAGAGCAAGCGGCAATGAGGACGCCTCTAAGACTTCACTCTCTGGGAGTATGGAACAAGCAAGGCCGCACAACGAAGCACACTCGAATCTTAACGGAGGCGTTCAACAGAATACCCTTGTTAAGGATGGGTTGTGACCGAATGGGCACAAAATTAATATATGAGAAGACATATATAATATCAATTAATGATAATTCAGAAGGAAGAGCCAACATCGATATGTATCTATGTCGATGGTGCCAAAACAGATAGTGGTTCAGGAGCCGGCATCTACTCCGAACAACTGAACGCACAAATCAGTGTACCTATCGGCACCCACACGTCTGCCTTACAAACAGAACTGATGGGAATAATGCTGGGAGCTAGAATCGTTGCTGAACGTGAAATTGGCAACAAATCAATACGCATACTTACTGACAGCAACTACTAGCCCTGGACAGCTGTATGGTTCGATCCGGGCTGGTTTGGGAGTGCAGACAAACGCTAAGGTATGTAACGCAGAGGAATAGTGTGGAACTTTGTTGGATCAAAGTACGCAGTGGTAACGAAGGAAACGAAAGGGCAGATGAGGTGGCGAAGCGCGTCGCGCGCATGCCCTTCTGGGGACCCGAACCGGCAGTCACGCCTCCGGTCGCCCTCTCGAACGAACTCGTAAAGCAATATACCCATAGACGCCATGAGCAGATAAGGGCGACGTTGAGCAGCTGTCAGGAAAGTAGAGCTTGTATGGCGACACCAGACCGTAAGTTGACGAAATTTTATCTCTCACTTTCAAGGGACAGACTGCGTAAACTGGTAGGATTCCTTACGGGACATTACCAGTTTAACAAACATCTACATACGATAGGGGTGATAACAGACCCAAACTGTCGTAGATGCAATGAAGAAGAGGAAACAGCTGAGCACATTCTTCGTGAGTGTCCAGCCCTAGCCTCCTACAGGAAATCCATACTAGGGGACATCTGGCCTAGTATGGCAAAAATCAGGGAGTTTCCATCAGCCTTTTATTTTGGAGGGGCCCAGCCCGGGCACTAATTTCAAATAAGGGGCCTTTAAAAAATTCTTCATTAGTATAAATCAACATTTTCCTTGGATCACAACCAGTATATAAATTTAATGGGGTGCAAATAGTTGAAACTGACAGGTATTTACTTTTAATATTGAGAGGTACAACAATCAATTTTTTTTCACGCTAGTGCGTTAGTGACTTTACTGTACGGAAATTTTTACTTTTCGTATATAGGTATGTATGTGTACTAGAAATACATATAGTATTTATTAGGATATGCCAACAATTCAAAAAGCAGTTAAAAAAAAACTTCGCTAGTAGTCAAGATAAAATTAATAAAATCTTACCAGAAATGAGTTGGAATATCAGTTGTATCGGCTAATTGCTTAAAAAAGTTATCGACAAAACTGTTCACAGAAGTAGGTACCGCTTTACTCAGAGAGTTATATTACAAAATAAGAACATAAGATTACTCTCATAGCTAAAATTTACTGTTGATCTGAAATTTCGAATTTGCTTTACTTTTAAAATTTAGAATTAATTTAAGGGGGCACCAGGGGTGGCACAGGGTTTTGCTGGGGCGGCCTGTGCCCCCCCAGGCCCCCCTTGGTTACGTGCCTGGTTTCCACCCTCTGCATTACTCAAGTACATTCAAGCAGTTGGGTGGCTTGACGAGTAGAGGAGCGGGAAAACACCCTGATATGGACTTGGGGAAGGTACAATGGGCCCAAAGGCGAGGTCTAAGTGCCGGCCGGCTATGGTCAGCCCCCATAATTAAGAATACAGAATCCATCCAATCCAGAGGGTTTCTTCGAATAGGCTGAAAGTTTGTATCGATAATAATCCTCGTATTGAAAAACTAGCGAATGTTAAATTTTGACTTGATTAGAGTATTTTTAAGCCCCAATCTGCAAGCTTGGTGTGGGGGTAGTTTTTTACGATTTCTCCGAACGGGTTGAAATTTTGTATCAACAATCTTCGTATTGAGAAATTAAGAAATATGTAGTTCTGACTTGATTGCAGCATTTTTAACCTCCAGTCTGCAAGGTTGTTTTGGGGTGATTTTTGAGGGTTTCTTCAAATAGGCTGAAATTTTGTATCGATAATATCCGTATTGAGGAACTAGCGAATATAAAATTTAGGCTTGATTGGAGTATTTTTAAGTCCCAGTCTGCAAGGTTGTTTTGGGGGTAGTTTTCCAGGATTTCTCCGAACGGGTTGAAATTTTGTATCAACAATCTGCGTATTGAGAAATTAAGAAATATTGAGTTTTGACTTGATTGGAGCATTTTTAACCTCCAGTCTTCAAGGTTGTTTTGGGGGTGATTTTTAAGGGTTTCTCCGAACGGCTTGAAATTTTGTATGAACAATCTTCGTATTGAGAAATAAACGACTGTCGAGTTTTGACTTGATTGCAGTTTTTTAACCCCTAGTCTGCAAGGTTGTTTTGGGGGTGATTTTTGAGAGTTCCTTCGAATAGGCTGAAATTTTGTGTCGATAATCCTCGTATCGAGAAACTAGCGAATATCAAATTTTGACTTGATTGGAGTATTCTTAAGCCTCAGTCTGCAAAGTTGTTTTGTGGCTGGTTTTTGAAGGGTTTCTCCGAACGGATTGAAATTTTGTATTAACAATCTTCGTATTGAGAAATAAACAAATGTCTAGTTTTGACTTGATTTCAGCATTTTTAACCCCCAGTTTGCAAGATAAACTGTGGTCTGCAAATTAGACAGGCCCCACTTCTGTCGCTTTTTTGCCAGCGAAGGTAGATTATTAAAAAGTTAGATGAGAAATTTCACTCTAATGACTACCACCTTCATCGTCAGATGGCAACACTATACCCAAATTTTTAATTGTTTGGATAGCCAATGCCTATTGGAACGGCCATATCTCCTTAGAGATTAATGGAGTTGGCCATGGTCACTCCATGGCATTCTTTCCGTACTAGTTAAAAAGTGCCGAATGGAATGGAATCTCTTCGGAGATTAATGGAGTTAGCTATGACTGTATCAGTGATTTCATTTTTTTTTGTGAAAAAAGACAAGTCACTTGTCATTACAATGTCAGTTTGAATTGTTTTGTCATTAATCTTTCGATTTGTGTTTGGTGAAGTAAATCATAAAAGAAAATTACTTGTGCATATGGACTCCAAATAATGAAGATATGGTCTAAAATTTATCAGTGGTATATCGGAAGAATATTAAAAAATGACCAACTTTTTTCTTCAAAATATATCCAAAATATTGGCATTTTAACAGCTACGCTTGTAACTTCATACGCAATGGCTACAAATTTTAGAAAAAATTCAATAAATTATGGAGAAAATGGAGTGACTGGATTTTCAAACATGACCAAAATTGATGTCAACGAAGATCAACTTTGTTTTCAAAACTTTCCATGTAAGCTGAAGTTACTTAATGAAAAAGAAAGTAACCGAGAAAAATTCAATTTTATTAATAATGTTGTAAAAAAATGTGCACCTGCGGTTTTATACATCATAATTAGTGACCCAACACAACTGGACTTTGATACAAAAAATCCTTTAATAACGTCAACTGGTTCAGGATTCGTTATTAATGAAAACGGCTGGGCTTTAACAAACGCCCATGTGGTTTTAGAACAACCACAAAGCATAATAAACGTTATTACATATGATGGCTTGGCTTATACAGCAACTGTTGAACATGTGGACATATCAAAAGATCTAGCTCTCATAAAAATTAATTGCGATAGAAAACTGCCTACTTTAGAATTTGGCTCTAGCAAAGATGCTATAGTTGGTGAATGGGTGATTGCATTAGGAAGTCCACTATCTTTAACAAATTCGGTTTCCGTTGGAATTGTAAAATAAGTATTCCTGTTTCTTCACTAACTACTAACTGCACTGCATTACAGGTTAGTTCTATAAACCGATCCGCGGAGGATATAGGATTGAGGAATTATCCTATGACTTATATTCAAACGGATGCTTCAATTACATTTGGTAATTCTGGAGGACCACTTGTCAACCTAGACGGACATGTAATTGGTATCAACAACCTACGACTCACGGCAGGAATTTGTTTTGCAATACCTGTAGGTTAGTATGTCTAGGAATAATTTTAAGTCGTTAATTGGTGAGGCATAACAAGTGTTAGAAGTTGTTTTGCCTTCTACACATACCCACTCAAGCACGTATACAGAAAATGGGAAGCGTGGACATTAAAAAAAAAATTGGTCAAAGGTTATGTAGACCGAACTTAAGGGCGCTGCTACAGTAAAATCCACAAGAAATTCAGCCATTTGCTTCTCCATAAGAAACAATGGTAAAGTAACGCCATTTAGTACTTGCTTAGAAAATTAATAGCGACTTTATTTTAGATTATTTTTTAAATCTGTTTTGTCAGCCTTAAAGACTACTATTGAAACTAGGTTTATATAGATCAAAAAGTGTCATAGTATTTGACATAATGTTGTAATTTCATCTTAAATTTTCAAGCGACATTTTTGTAAATTTATAAAATTATAAAAAAAAATGTTCTACAGAAACATGGCTTAATCCCCCGAAAACAAGAGTCTATAAACAGATAATAAAATCAGTGAAAGACCTTTGTACAGTTATTTTTTCCTGTAAACGTACCAAACAAAAATTTTAAGGTGAATCAAGTAGCGCCCTCCGCATTTGCGAGCACAGGTGGACTCAACAGTCTGCAGCACGTATTAAAGAATTTTAGATGTGGGTTCAAAAACAAATGCCTCACTTACAGTTCCTGTGAATAACAATCTGTAAAGTTATTTCCTTCGTATCTGAAGCGCAAGATATACCGCTTCTCATGGCGCGTTTTAAAAGAACATTTACTTAACCGTATATTGTGATTATGACATTAATTTATCGAAGGTTATGATAGTAACAATTATTATCATATTCTTCATAATACTAATTATTATTAATATTCTGTAATACTCATATTAATGTTATAGGTAATTGTTTTGTAGGAATTTCTAATCAGCTTATTCCGATTTTTAATACACTTCTTAAAGCTAATCGACTGCCCTCAATGTTATCAAGAATATTAAATATCAGGTAAAATGATTAAAATGACTATTGGACCATGTTTACTGCTTTGGTTCTAAACATTATCAGAATTTGTAAAAATTAGTATGAACTAAGCATAAAGAATTTGGAAATTCATAATTGAAAAACCATTAGCACGACTTAAATTTTACACCTTGTAAATCCCTATGATGCATTCATAAAAAACCGCACTGTATACTATGCTGTTGGTTTTAATTTGAAAAAAAAAGATGTCTTAGATCGGCTACCACACTGAATGCACCCACCCATGTGCAATGTTACATTAATTAAATTCATTCACCATAGACCCATTCTACTGCTTGGAGCGAACGTGCCGACGGCCGGCGAATAAGAGATGGTCATTTGACCGTCAAATGCCGTCGAATAGTTTGGACCCCAATCGCGCGCATAGACTATCCCTATACATCCCCATAACAGTAACAAAACTATTCTTAAATCTACCAATCGATAGAGGGCGACGGAAAAAAATTGTAAGAATCTCATAGTAAGTGTCATAGCAGAGAACATAGAGAAGCGTCATAGTTTAAATCAAATGACGGTTGAGGACTTCTCAATTTATGTTGGTAGCAGTGTTTGTTTCTAACTAGGAATAAAAGTAACTAGAAGAAATGTCATAATATTTTCAACGACGCGTTTTATTTTCGACAAATTGACACTAGATTTACCAGAATATTACAAGCTGCTTACTGTTTCCTTCACTTTCATTCAGGTCACACGAATTACAATTATAGTGAAGCAAGGTTTTTATTGGCATCGACTATTTAAATTTGGCGCTTGCCTTTGGCGGTTGAGGACTCCAATGTCAATAAGGGTGGTTTTGCAAAATCAGCCTCTATGTCGCTTCACAATGTTCTCTGATCATAGTCTAGTCAAGTTAGCAATCAGCCTCGGAATGAGAGATAATAAGCTGAATTTTCGTATATACCTTCATCTTGGCGTTCTAAAAATTGTCTCAAAAGTCTCATAAAATCTCGTGTCTGTGTCGTAAGTTATTCAAGGTCAAATGTCAAGGAAAACAGTTTTTTGCGATTATCTCGGTTGCTATTGCTCCAATGATGTTAACATTTATTATCATAATTGTAACTCACAAAATTTGGGACAAATTTTATTTGAAACATTTTTTCATGCCCTCAATCGTTTTTGACATAGAGCGCAGTGAGCGCGCAGCGCTCATCCATACGTACTGTAATGCAATCAACCGTGAATGTCTGTGAATAATACCTTGAATTTTTAATAATTTGTATTATTTAGCAGTTAATACATTGCATTTAATAACATTTTTTCTACTCCTACATAATAATCCATAAATTACGAACTGTCTACCCTCATACTAAAACCATAGTTACACCTATAGCCCCTAGAAATACATAGTACCGTCATCCATTGTTGTACGAGTGGAGCAAATGCAGTTGGTAACGCAAAAAATTTCCCTAGTTTGGAACCAAACTGTGTCAGCAGAGAGTTGACAACGCGTAAACCGTTGTTGTCACGTGGTCTTGGCATGGTCTTTTTGTTTAAAGTCAATGAATTGTCAATTAATATAACTAATAGTGATTAAATAAGATTTTATTGATTAAATTTTATATTTTATTCAAATTAAAAATCCATATTTTGTATATAAACTACAAACTTTAAATCCAACATAAAACCATTTTAAATTTCGCGGTCTGTCAAATGGTGTTAATAATTTTTGTTTTTGTTAAGTTTCCGCCAGGTTTGCTCCACGGTGACGATACTATGTATTTCTAGGGGCTATAGTTACACCCACTGGCATGTAATGAGTGAACAGGCACGTAATATATTACAACTATAAATATTTGCTTTCCCAAAAAAATTTCTTCTGAAAGTGATTCTTCATTATGGATCGTAGAAAAAGTATATGACACAACTCTGGTGGTAAGCTAATTGCGAACTCATATTATATCACTCGCTCGCTACGCTCGCTCGTGTATAAACTTCGTTCGTAATTAGCTTCTTACCACCCTCGATATGTAATATACTATTTTGCACTCATGATCTTTTTTGATGGCTTTCGTGCATTCACCAGGGTGCGGGAGTTCGAACTTCCCGCACACGTGCATTTTAACTTCCCGTTGCCATGGTAACCTTAAAATACTCGCGTAGTGTCAACATTGTGATGTGTTGACGGCGCCATTGTTTATAAATAACTCACAGTTAATTTCTTCAGTTTAAAGGTTTATTCGTTGCAAAAAATATTGTACACAACACGTTCGTGAGCCTGCTTCCCGCATTCACGCAAATGCGGCACTCCCTTCGGTCGTGCCGCAAACAAGCGTTCATGCGGGAAGCAGGCTATCCCGAACTAGTTGTGTAATAGTTATTTACATTATGAGTGCGGTAGGTAACATTTTGCAGGTTGAGGTCCTAATTTGCCACCCGACGCGAAGCGGAGGGTGGCATGGGACCGAAACCTGCAAAATGCCTAACGCACGAAAATTGTATTCAATTTTTTCGCCGACATTGATTTTATTTTAAAAAATATTTGTTTTTAAAAATATTTTTCGAAATGGAAATAATGAAGTGACAGTGACTAGACTTGACGTTTACTGAAGGAATCTATAATACCGACAGTCACGAGATGGCGCCATGTGATTTTTTTTAAATAATTCATTTTTTCTAATTCAAAAGTTTTGATCGAACAAAACATGATGTAAAGTAGTATTCTAGTATGTTTTCTTTTATTATTTATACAGAACTTTTTTTATTAGAGCTTCTAGAGGCTAATGCATATTGAATTACTTTGGCACCCAAAGGCGGTAAAGCAACGGTAAATTGATATTTGGTGCGTAAAGTCATTGTTACGCGGCATGTCAAAGGTGTATGAATGTTTTGTTTACATGTCAGGAGGCGAAAAATTACTATTACATATTTTCAATACATTCATTTAATGATACTTACCTACTATGTGTAATTAAAAACTCTTTAAATGAAATACTTATTGTATGGTTATCTTAATTTATTGAAAGTAGATTTTAAGTAGAAAAATAATTAAGTACGTTATCTTTAAAATGTGTAAGTTTTTAGATATTAGATAATATATTATACTTGTTATATTATTATATATATACAGTGCATATTTTTTAAAAGTGGCCATAGGGATTCCCGTGTTAAATTTTATACCCCATGTTGACTTATGTTTGAGTAAAGATTGAGAGCTGAAATTTTTACTGGATGTAACTTGGGTTATCTTTTGTCGATTTTATTAGAAATCATGTCTTAAATTAAAGGATATTTCTTTAAAAAAATTAAAATATTTGGATATTTTTGTCGCTAATATTGTAGGCAGCCACGTAAAAACAGACATTTACCTGACGTTTCTAAACTTTGATTACACGTTCAATCAGTGGCGGCTCGTGACTTTTTCTGTTGGGGGGGGGGGGGGGCAAAATTAATACACAGTATTATGCTAAAATTAAAATTTATCCTAGGAGGTGGACCTAATTCCAGACTTCCCCAACGGTGATGGGGCGAACTCAAAGTTCCTTTTAAATTTGTTGGCATAAGAAATATAAATAAAATTTTGCTAATCGCGTGTCCAGTAGATGTAATAGTTATCCCCCACATTAAATTCTTTTCAATTTTTTTAATTAATATTTCTATATATAAAATCCATACGTCTTTCTTTGTTACGAACAAAATGTTCTATAACTAGTTCATTGAAATTGGTGGTTTCTTGCACTAGTTTTTTTTTCTATTGAACTCATTGCCAATCATATCTTTGTTGACACATTGTATTTCGTAAAAATGTCTTTATACGTTTTAACGTCGAAAAACATCGTTCGCATTCACTTGTCACCATCGGTAATGTGCAAATAATTTTCAATAATTTTTTTGTTTCTGAAAATACGTTTAATAAATTGTTTTCATACATAAACTTCAAGAATGTTAAGGCACCATTTGCTGTTGAAAAATCGGGATGATTATAAATAACATTTTTAACTCATTTTTTAACACATTAAAATTTAAATAATATTTTGTAGCACATAATTCAACTTCTTTTGATGGAAAATTTAGCTGAAAATATGAAAATAAGCAAGTCTGAAACAAATTTGTTACTGTAATATAATCTGCTTCTAAAAATCGATCATCAACACTAAATTTAATATTATCAAAAAATTTCTTTAGCAATTGCAATTTTATTGTCATTAAAACGAGACCGCTTTTTTGAAGATTCACCCTCTTCGTTTTCTTCTCAGTAATAATCATAGTCGATAGAATCCGTTACATGTTGTATGGTACGTTTAAAAGAAGTAATGTTTTTTTGAAGTTTAATTAAGTCCATTTCGCGAATTTGAAGTTGGTTGAAAAGTATCTCGGTATTAGGCATGATTCTGTGAAAGAAGTATACCCAAAAATTAAAATCGTAATCTTCTAATGTTTTGCGTAAACTACTTGCCTTGGCAATTGTTAATTTATCACTATTTTTATCTTCCAATATAATTTGAAAGCAGTTAATCAAATCATTTTTAAAACTATGTACAGTATTAACTATTCGTGACTTAAAGTTCCATCCAGACGGACAATTTCTTGGTAATCTTTTAGAAACGATATCATCAAGTATTTTTACACGTTTAGGAGATCTTGAAAAAAGGAGGAAAATCATTCTAAATTTGAAAAAAAAAATGCTTACTGGGCTGTGTGCTGATGCCGCCTTTTCTATAATTAAATTCAACTGGTGAGCATAGCAGTGAATAAACGGAGCTTTAGATTAATGTTCCTTGATTTTTGCTTGTACCCCATTTTGTCTTCCAGTCATAACCGAAGCACCATCATAAGAATGAGATATAAGTTTCTTTGGATTTTGATTGATTTCAAGTTTTTCGAGCTCATTTAAAATAATACTAGAAATACAATCAGCTGTGTGATCTGTCGGATTAATGAATCCTAAAAATCTTTCAAATATTTTGCCTTTCAATTCATATCTAACGACAAAAACCAGCTGCGACCGTGAAGCTACATCTGTAGTTTCATCAGCTAAAATAGATATATAGTCCGCTTCCAAAATCTCATCTTTGATTAAATTAATACACAAACAGCATAAATTGAATTAAGTAGTTCGTTTTGTATGGTTTTTGAAAGACCCATAAAAACGCGATTGTTCGTTTTTTCTATATGAGATTTTAATGTAGTGTCAAGCTCTGCCATTAAATTAATTATACCTCTGAAAATTCCCGGATTTGTAGAATCATGCGTTTCACCATGCCCCTTAAAGCCAACTCAAAGATTGCACAAAATTTTATACCGTCAATCAGTTTACTTAAAATGTACCTATTCTGTTTTAACCTGCTCGTTATGTCTTTCGACGTTCTCTCTATAAGCACTATTTAACTGATTTCTTATGTCTACTTTACCTAACACTGCGAACGATACGTTGAGATTTAAGTGTTTTTTACTCGGGCGATACTTTTTCACTTTTTCCCCCAAATGTTTTAAATCTGTGATTCCGGTTTCAGTCCAAGCTTTAGTCTTATTAAATTTTCGATGCACGATTTTGTCTTTAACTTTAGACGACACAGCAATATCCAAATCGGGTCTTGGCGGTCCAACGTTTTTTATTAATAGTTTTTCATGACTTAATTTGTTTTCAGATTTAGCCGCAAAATTCTTTCAATTGAATTCATATTGATATTATTGACAACTCTAAAACACAGTTTTTTAACTGTGCACAGACAACTAAAACTGACAAAGTTACCAAATTTCACTGGACCGTTTTGTTTCAAAATCGATGACTAAATCGATAAAAGTGTATGCAATCGTATATGCATTTAAGTACTTAAGTTGCAGTATATAATTAAGAAGATGCGATTACTATGCCACAGATTACGGATACCAAGATAGTTCACTCAGCTGTCGGCACTTTGAAGTCGGTGTCCCGAGATTTCAAGCGGTATTCACGCTACTACGCACGCTCTACCAAAATTGGTTCGCAAGCTTTGAATTTAAAAGCGCGGCGGTCAGAGAAAAATTACAGCGATGATGCAAGGGATGAGGTTCTAAGTGAAGAAAAAACGAACAAAATACTTATTTGCTTTACACAAAATTATTTATGATTATTACAAATGCTTAACATTTCACAATTTCCTCTGAAAAGAATTGCGGACACATGCATCGGCATTAAAAAATTTTAGAGCGTAAAAAACACGTATTCTCGAATATAGTGCTAACAAGAAAGTGGTGTTAAAATTTTTGCATGGTGA